CGATCGAAAAGAGGCACACAAGACCTGATTGAAGTCGGTCAGGTTCAACCTAATGGCAGATGGCCATCTTCACAGGAGATTCTTCATTAGACCCCTTTTGAAATGTGTACATCCCTCCCAGGTTGGGGACTTTCTGTATAAGATTCATGAAGGAGTCTGTGGAAGCCATGCTGAGGGCAGATCATTTGCTCATAGGGCCATGACTCAGGGATACTGGTGGCCCTACATGCAGAATGATGCTAAAGCCTACGTTAGAAAGTGTGAGAAATGTCAAAGGTTTACACTCTTGATACATTAACCAGCAGCAGATTTGAACCCAGTATCCAGCTCTTGGGCATTTTCCCAATGGGGCATAGATCTTGTTGGACAACTGCCCCAAGCAACTAGGCAAAGGAAGCTTTTGCTGGTAGCAACTAACTACTTCACGAAGTGGGTAGAAGCTGAACCCGTTGCAAAGATTCGAGATATTAATGTGAAGAACTTCATATGTGTCATGACCCAAACCCGTCCCTATAGGTTTAGCACCGTAACCGGCCAGTAATCCGTGGATTACCAAAGGCCTCTGAAGAGATTAGAAAATAATAAGGGCCTGCGGAAGTAATAATACAAAATAGACAAGGTCCAATGAGCTGTGATAACGTACATGGGACAGAACATTTCAAAACTCATTTATATATATAAACATGCCAGTCCGGGTACACAATATTTACAGAGTATTACATCCTAAGACCTGTCTGTACAGAACAAACACAAGGACTAGCATGAAAACAAAAACAGCCATGGCTATAGGCTACGCTCGGAACCTCGTCGAGAGGCACAACAGTTGGCTGACAAAACAAAACAGAAGGCCGTCAACTCTGGCCCTGGTCATGTGCCGGCTCACCTACATATATAATATAAACTGTGAGCGAAAGCCCAGTGAATAATAATAAAGTAAAGGGTTTCAATGAATGAATTCGTATAAATTCAGAAATCATAATTCAGTTCATATCAAAATCATAGTTTATCCAGATCATATATAGACAGAAATCATAAGTCATGATTAAGTTTACGTGATACATCCATTAGCATTAACAGAACAGAACAAAACAGAACGTATACACGTGGGGTTACGAATAACCAGTTCCATAAAGGAACCTTCGGATCCGGGTAACAGAACAGTACAGAAGCTGAGCCCCCATGACAGGGCCTCCGGTACGGGTAACAGAGTGCAGACAAAAATAAGTTCCGTAAAGGAACCTCCGATACCGGGTAACAGCTAACAGATATCACATGATGCTAAGGATGTCACGAATATATATCAGAAATTGAACAATCATTCATTGTACAAAACATATCATTTCAGAAAATAGATCTTATTTTATCCCACAGAAAGTAGATACAGTTTGAACATAACTTTACTAAATTATTACTCACAGTTGGCCTTGAAATAGACAGACGGAGCAGATTGATCACACGATACGCGGCACGTGACCTACATAACACATAACGGACACACACTTGAAACGCACATTCTAATTTCACAAAACTTACGTCATTGGTTCTTAGTGTGTTTCTAACCTTAAATCCTCCCTAAAGAGTCTTAAACATGGCCTAGGAATGCCTAGGATGGAATGAGGATGCAAAGATGCCTTGGAAAATATTTTTCAAAACTTGCTGAAAACAGGGGTCTCACTCGAGCGTGGCTTTCTTCACTCGAGTGAGCTTGTTAAAACAGAGGGGCCGCTCGAGCGTAGACTCCTTCGCTCGAGCAGTCTGTAAAAATGCAAAAGTACTGGTTGTTGAAATTTTACGCTCGATACCCGCTCGATGCTCGCTCGAGTGTGAGACACAGCCCTCCGCTCGAGCGTAGGTCTCGTCGTTCGAGCGTGCGTCTGCGTGCACTAAATACCTGAGAGCTTGCTATTTACACTCGAGCCACCATTCCTTCACTCGAGCGGAGCTCTGAACAAACGATGGTCGCTCGAGCGTGGAATCCTTCGCTCGAGCGAGGAAGTCAAATTTTGGAATTTCCAGATTTGCCTCCCAAGCTCAAACCAAGCATTCAACACCTCAAAACTCGACCTCTTGGGCCCATTTTCTGGAAAACACTTGTAAACTCATAGTATAAGATGTTTCAAAGATCAATTTGTAAAATCAAAGCCCAAAGGTGAGTCAATTAAACACAATTTCAAATAAAATGTCAAGAACATAACTTAAATGTAACATGCATGAATTCTCATGACTTCTAAAGCTCCAAAACATGATCCAAAGCAAGATTAAGTTCAAGAATAGGATGAATTCATGGACTATAACAAAAATGTGGACATGCATGAAGAAATCCTCATGGAACAACTTCAAAACTCAACAATATGAACATGCATGCATGATACAAGCTTCAATTTAACAATCTTAACCAATTCTAGACTTTAAACTCTAAACTTCTATGAACCATGCAAGAATTAATCTTAAATTCACAATTGAAAGGGAAAACTCCTACCTTAAGTCTTGAATTCCAAGTCTAGGAGCTCAAATTTGCAAAGCCTCTTCAATTCTCCTAAGCTCCAAGCCAAATCTCTAGATGAATCCTATTTTCTCCTAGCGCTCTCTCTCTAGTCGGTTTTGTCAAGGAAAAATGGCTGAGGAAATATGTTTCTAAGTGTAATAAGGTTGGTCTCAAATTAAGCCACTAAGTGGCATAATGGTAGATAAGTCCAACTAATGTAATTTAGCTTATTTAATCCAATTTAATCATACCAAATCAAATTTCAACTAAATTTACCATAAAATCACATTAATTCTAATTAACACAAAACACTAATCAGTTTCGGATTCGGCCGCCGATAAGGCCTTCAATTTGTAGTTTAAAACATAAAACAGGAACAGATCATTTTGTGGTAAACAGATAAAAACACTAAGATAGTGCAATACGTATGCAATTTAATTCTGGATTCCTTCTAAATTACTGTTAGGCATAATTAATCATGGTTTAGCATTAATCGGAGGTCGGGGTTATTACAATATGGAAGAACATTATCACCAGGTTTGGAATCCCAAGGGCAATAATAGCCGATAATGGTACACGGTTTAACAGTAAGCTAATCAAAAGCTTCTGTGCAAAGTACGAAATCAAGAACTACTACTCCACTTCAAGTTTCCCTAAGAGCAATGGTTAAACAGAAGCATCCAATAAGACTATCTTGGATGTGATCCAGAGGAGACTGGAAGCAGCAAAAGTGAAGTGGGTGGAAGAGTTGCCCAATGTGCTCTGGGCATATCGGACTATGCCGAGAAGATCCACTAGGGAGTCTCCTTTTTCCATGGCTTATGGCACTGAAGGAGTTATCCCACTGGAAGTCGGCATCCCTGGAATCAGAACCCAGGGAGTAGAAGATGGGACCAACGAGTCATTCTTAGCCTGAGATCTGGATTTATTGGAAGAAAAAAGGGAGAGAGCAGCACTTCGGCCGGGGGCATACCAGCAACAACTTGTTAGGGTTTACAACAAGAAGGTCAACCCAAGAGATTTCAAAGTTGGGGACCTCGTCTTGAGGAAAGTTGTCAGCAACAAGAAGGATCCTAGGGAGGGCAAGCTTGGCCCAAACTGGGAAGGGCTTTATAGAATCATCTCGGTTGCCGGCAATAGGGCATACCGACTTGAAGACACTAATGGCAAAGAGTTGCCAAGACCCTGGAACACTTGCAATTTGAAGTTTTTTTATCATTAGTTTTTTTGTTTTTCGAAGTTTATGTTGAAATTTTATTAACCGAAGTAATAATAAAGTGCTAGTTTTATTTTTATGAATTTGAAATTTGTGCGATAGGACTGACCAGTCTTATGACTATGTTTCCAAATGAAACATGATGAATAACTTAGACTTATTATATGGAAGAGTTGAATTATACTTGCATATAATAGAGTTGAACTAAGTTGGCGATGTTTCTAAATGAAATATGACGAATAACTTATACTTATTATATGGTAGAGTTGAATTATACTTGCATATAATAGAGTTGAACTAAGTCAGCGATGTTTCTAAATGAAACATGACGAATAACTTAGACTTATTATATGGCAAAGTTAAATTATACTTGCATATAATAGAGTTGAACTAACTTGGCGATGTTTCTGAATGAAACATGACGAGTAACTTAGACTCATATGACAGAGTTGAATTATACTTGCATACAACAGAGTTGAACTAAGTTGAGTTAACCTAGACTTACCATGTTGGCAGAGTTAAACCCTGAATAGAACTAAGTCTGCTTTAGTCAGATTAACAGAGAAACCAAGGTCGAACACCTCAGCTAGTCTTTGTTTGAGTCTGACTTCGGCAATAGACCATAGATGTATGCTTAATACTTAAGTGGAACTTAGGTTCACATTAGGGGGCAGGGAGCATGAATAACAAATAAGCTTGAGAGCTTGGCACTTAAAGTTTTTAGAAGAAATTTACAAGTTGGACTAGGCCTGACACTTGTTGAAGATTTAGAACAATTTCCAAGTTGAAGTTAGCCGAGGAAACAAGGAAAAAAGTATCCGAGGTACATATTACCCAAGATAACCAACCAGGTTGTTAAGCTTGGAAGGGTTAGAAGGATGAAGTCTTGACAGCAAGTGGAAATAAATAAGCAGTACTTGATTGAATAAGTTTTAAGAAACAGCATTTATAAAAATACTTCAAAATATTTTTAAGTGTTAGCCGAGGTATTCCAATTGTTGGCCGAGACAAACACTCAAGGTTTATATTCGAGGTACTCTACCCCGAAGTGATTTCATAGAATAAACTTGGAAAAAGTAGAAAAATATTCTAAGTATGGAAAGCACGCAAGGCGTAAAGAGAAAAATAGTAAGCATACACGAAGCAAAACATTCAACACTTAAGAAAGAAGGAAGAAGGCAAACACACATTCAAATAAGAAACTTGTTCAGAAACAAAAACGCACTTCGGCCTGGCAAAAGAGATTACTTGTCCAAAGTTACAAAAAATTACAACTATTCAAAAGTAAAGAAAAAATTCCTAAGTGTTGGAATTATGGGCACTGATCTCAGATTGCTCAACCTCGGCTGTTGGCGTTGTGTCAACCTCGGTTGGCAATATGGTTTCCTTCTCCGCCACTATCTCGGTGTCAATTTCTGAAAGGGTCTGGTCCAAGCTTTTCTCGGCTGCCTGGACCTCGGCCTCGGAAGTTGTTTGTTTGGGAGAGGCACCTTTGTAAACCAAGTCTTCTTCCTCATCATGAGTCAAGTCCAGGACTTGATCATTCAATGTTGGAGACTTGTCCCTATCAGTAACCAGTTCCTCTTCTTCGGCATCCTTTGCGTCGGTTACCTCTTCATCGGCTTCGTCACCCAATCCTTTAGTAGACGGAGGGAAAAGAACAAAGAGTTTGTTGATATCTCAGAGGTCGAAATCCATTAGGATGGCAAGCTTGTTCAGAGCAGCCGTCCAATTGAGATAAAAACCTCGGTTGCAGGCTTGGTTTACTTGTTCCTTGTAGGCGTCACGCACATTGGCTTGACTTTCGGTGTAGGCCTTTTCGTCAGCTACCTTAATTTTGACTGCCTTGGTCGCTAGGGCCTCTCGCAACTCCGCCTCGGCTTTGGTAATTTTGGCTTTGGATTCTTTGGCCTCAGCCCTCAGTAAATCGGGAACCGCTTCAGTAGCCTCCGCCTTTTCCTTAGTTTGATCTTGAGCTTGTTTGGCAGCCTTGGCTTGATCCAGCAGCATCTTCATTTTTGCCTCGACATTATTGAGGGAGGTGAGGAAGCTAGCAACCTCTTTGGTCTTGCGGACCAATTCTTTCTTGAAAGCCTCGCCTTTCGTTGCAAAGAAATGAGCATGCTGGATCGCCTGAAAGAAAAAGAATGAACAAGTTAGTAAAATTTCTAAGTATGAGAACTTGAAATAAAAGCCAAAAAAATGTAGGAGTTGAAGACTTACCAGAACAGAGTGTCACATCATTAAAGCAAATTTTTCATATTTGGTGTTCTCGACCATTCGATTGAGATCAGTAGGCAGAAGAACAGCGGTAGAGAGAGCGGTGCCGACTTCGATGCTGTCAATCGCACTGTCGCCAACTGTCATCGGTCGGTCACCAATCGAAATCGATAGGGTCCCAGGGCTCGTTGGCTGTGAAAAACCCTCGGCTCTTTTCACCTTCGGACCTTGGCCGTTTTGATTGCCGATTGTAGAATATCTCGGCCTCGGAAGGCCTCTTCTCGATGAAGGCATTTTTCTCTACCTCGGCCAGTTTGGAGATCGGCAAGGTGTCTTCGGTGTCCACTTGGGTAATTGGGGTCTTTGCCTTAGCCCTTTTCACCCCCTTTGGTTTTGGCTTGGGTTGGGACACTGATGAAGAAGATTGAACAATCACCACTCCTGGCAAGTCGGCCAGGAGGCCCTCTACAATGGCTTGTTGCGGCCCATCTCTTCAGCTGTTGCAGCGACGGTGATTTTGGTGCCAAAATGAATTTTTAATAGAGAGATTTGTGGGTTTGTTGAGTCGTATGTCAATTTTTTAGAATCTCATTGTTTGCAACTTCGGGTTCTGCTAGCAGGGACGTTTGGTGGAGCTCGACGTCGACGTCGGCGTCGGCGTCGGCATTGGGAAAGTGGAATCAACTAGGGGATGGATGTGGATGTAACCTCAATTGGATCTAAAGAAGAGGCCTAGTCTGGCCTGGGTGAGGAAGTAACTAGTGAAATTGTTGCAGAAGGTGGAGTTTTGCTTCGACGTGGAGCGTCGGGCAGGGCCGACTTGTAAGTCGGAATGTAATCAAGCAATAGGGGGGCCTTACGTTTTTTAACTAGTAAGTCCAGCAGATTTTTTAGATTGGGGCTGGAGAAGAAAGTTTGTCAGAAATCCTTTGTTGGCTGGGGAAGAGCCGCAAAAGAGAACAAGAAGAAAAACATTCAAAAAGAGAGATATGAGTTGACAAGTCCTAGCAAAAATAGGATTAAGAGGATGGCTCAGTTCTTACCATCACCCTCTTTAAACACCGATCGGCGCAGAGGGAAGAGATGAAGATCATCATTAGAAGCAAACTCCCAGTTGCCCGAGACGATCAGGTAATCATCTCCAGCACCCTTGTTGGAGTCTGGGAGGTCGGCTATGATTTTGTAGGCAGTGGATCTGGGCTTGAGGTAATAAATGTAGCCTTTTTCAGACTTTAGGCCATACATGGTATAACAAAATTGGATGTGGGCTAATGTGATCCTAGCTTTTTCTCAGTAGGCTAGGGCAATTATACCATTAATAACCCTATAGGAATTGATGGCTAACTGTATAGGGTTGAGTTTGTAATAGTGGAGGACTTCCCTAAAAAGAATGTCTAAAGGAAACCGAAGTCCACACTCAATGAATGCAATAACGGGGAAGGGCATGGAGTCTCCATCAAGCATGATGGAATCCTCCTCCCCAGCTAACCTGATCTAAACATCGGTTGGGATAGAGAATTCCCTCTTAAAGTACTCAAGTTTTTCCGGGGTGTCTACCTTCCACCTAAACATACCCATGTTCTCGGCTTATGATATTTTATGAGGGATTTCAGAGAGAAGAGACTGGAAGGGCTTGAGAACCTTAGCTAAACCCTAAACAGGTACTGGGGCAAGGGTTTTGAAGATCTAAAGGGAATTTGTTTCAATTTTCCTAAGAATGTGATTACTATCAAACCCCAAACCTAAGTCTATAACAAAAACAAGAATCAAATGCAAGAATCTGGAAAAACAAGTCAAACAGAAACAGAAAAGAGCATGATTCAGACTCAAGAAAGCAACAAAAATTCAAGAACACAAAGCAAGTGTGTGCAAATATGCAAAAGTCAAGAGTAGTGGCAAATTGTTAAAGCACCAAAATTTATGAACACTACGTACGTGTGTGCAAGAACCACGAACAGTGTGTATAGACACAAGGATAAATTGAGTAGCACAAATCACAAACAAGCACGAGATTCAAAGCACAACGAAGAGTCAAGAAACCAGAAACGACTCAATGATGACCATAAACGAAAAACAAAATCAAAAGATGAGTAAGGAGATCGCACAGCAAGAGGCATACAAGTAGTTGCATAACAATATCGTATTCAAAAACAGTGAAAGACTGAAATTGAAGAGAAGAAATCAAAGGACTTACCGATTGAAGTTGGAGTGAGATACGCTGGAGTCAGAAGACTTGAATGATCAGCGTCAAATGATGAATAGTGCGCCGACGGTGACGGAAAAGGCCGTTGTAGAGCTTGAGAGCTTGAAAAATGGCGGTTTGGAAGAGAAATGTTAGAGAGAGAGTCCGAGGGACGGGGGAAATTATGAATTGCAAAAGTGAAAAGACGGAGAGAGAAGGAAGAGTTTTGTTAAATATACAAAAGGGCGGCAAAGCATAATGGGATGCCTTGGACGACGTGCTTGTCAGGCGGCATGTGCAGAAGCGACATAACCTGATGGCGCGTGTCAGGTACAAACTAATGAGAAATGGACGCATAGAGGAAATGGTTGAGTAAACTGTGCGTGATAACTCATACATAGTCAAAACTCTTGGAGTTTTTGATTAAATGAAGCAAAAACCTTGGCTAGAGGAGTGATCTCGGTTAGGATATTAAAAGAACTTGATTATTAGTTCTTGATCCTTGGTAAAGTGGACATTTGAGTCTTGGATACTTAAAACCGACGAGTCATGATCTCAGTCGAAGGAAAGAATGAATTTTAGCCGACATAATATATGAATAAGCGATGTAGGTTCCATCACCTCAGGTTGCCGAGGTAATAGAACCTAGGGGCAGTTGTGGGGACATATTTTGTAAATGACAGCACGCGGCCAAGGTGATGTCGAAATGTCAGCCGAGGTGCCACATGGCCTAGTCATGATGCCAAGGTGATCTCGGCTAGGCCGAGGTTGTCTGCGGAGATGCTGGAATCCGAAGACAAGAGTCCTAGAACAGGGGAGGATCTCAGTCTGGATAAAGATAAAGCTCTTATGGAGTTTATCCCTTTCTAGCTAAGAGACTTCTACATGGATCAGGTCAGTGCTAGTTATAAAAGCAGGGCACCCCCGTGGGTCTCAGGTATGTGTGGTATATTGTGAGCAGTAAGTGTTTTCTTGTGTGTTTAAGCACAATTTGCTATCTTTGAGAGATATTTGATTACTGACTTGAGCATCGAAGTGCCCGCTAGTGGATGAACCACTGTCGGATTCTTATCTTTCTGTGACAGGTTGTTTGGGCTCAATCTATTCTACCGGTGCTCTCTAGCTGAGTTCCCCGTTTGATTGTGTGGTCGGAAATCAACACCAACAGTAACAATGGAGAAGATAAAATTGAATTTGAGAAAATATAGGTAGATGAGATGAGAGAGAATGATTGAATTTGAGTAGAATATGAAATAAATTGAATATAAAAATGTGTGTGGAAAAGTTGTAAGAGTTATGAGTGATGGATATGGATATGGATGAATATTTTGTTTATACAAATAAGCTTTAAACATATGATAGGATGAACATGGGGGTTTAAACATGTGAGAGGATAAACGTGTGGAAGATAAGTCTAGCTAGTGGGAGTTGGGATAAACATGAGAGTTTGAACATGTGAGAGGATAAACGTGTGTAAGTGGGAGGTTTTTATTTTTGTTTTTTTAATAGCCTTTTATTTTGTTGACAGCCTCTGAAATGGTAGGAGAAGATCTAAACACTAAAAAGATAATAGCCACGTGTGTGTGTCGATTTTCGACCACACTGCCAATCAAGCACTCAGTTGGAGAACACTGGTATAATAGATTAAACCCGAAAAACCTATCATAGAAAGAAGTGATTCCAGCGGCGGTTCGTCCACCCGGGGGCACTCCGACGATCAGGTCAGTTATCTCTCAAAGAAAACAATTAGTGCTTAACTCACTATTCATAATATAAAAACATACCTTAGACCCATGAGGGTGCCTCCTTTTATAGCCAACACTAACCCGATCCCAATAGAAGCCTAGCTTTAATGGACTCTGGATTACTACTAATCTTGAACTCCCAGTAGGATTGGGATAAACTCTCTAAGAGTCTTATCTTTACCCAAACTGAAGTTCTCTCTCCTTCTAGAACTCTCGTCCCTTATCCGCTTATCCCGAATTCTGATATCTTCATAGATAACCTCGGTCTAGCCAAGATTATCTCAGCGTCATCAAAAGGACACGTGGCACCTCGGCTGGCACTTCAGTGCCACCTCGGCCACGTGCTGTCACTCAAAAATTATGCCTCCACAACTGCCCCCTAGGTTCTATTACCTCGGCATCCTGAGGTGATGGAACCTATATCATTTCTTGTACTGCGCGTCGGCTAAACTCACTTCGACCTTTACTACCGAGGTCATCACTCGTCGGCTCAATGTGACCACGAATAATCTATTTTCAGCAATACTTTAGAACCATTAACCAAGTTTATTCAACTTTCTTAGCCAAGATCATCCTCCTAGCCGAGGTCCTGCTTCATTAAATCAAGAACTCTAAGAGTTTCTTCACGCGTATGAGCTGTCACGCACAGCAATCCAACCGTTTTTGTCACGCGTCTTTCCCCTGCTAGACCGTACCTGGCACGCGCCATCAAGTCGCATCACTTGTGCGTGCGCCGTCTGACAAGCACGTCGCCCTAGGCACATTGATTGTAATTTTGCCGCCATTCCGTGGTTTCGATCAAAATCCCTTCTCTTTTTCCGTCTTTTCACTTTTGCATCCTCGTTCCCAAGCTCCCAACTTTTCCTCTCTCTAACTTTCTCTCCCAAATCCACCATTGTTGCTCTCGTGAAGCTTTCTGCAACCACCTTCAATCCCCCCTTCCAGTGAGGCTTTTGCTGCACTTCTTTGCTCACTTTCACCATCCAACACGGGCGTATTTTACACCGGCGTCATTTCGATAAGTCATTGTTCCTTCCTTCGTGTCAATTTCTTGTTTCACATTTTTATTGCCTCGGCTTATTAGTCATGTTTGAACATATTCATATGCTCTCATTCCTGTCTGTGCTTCAAATTTCACCCTTTGTATATTCAAAACATACTATGTTTCACCTATTTCTGGGTATACACATGTATCCACATACTTTGCTTATTTTGCCACTGTTCTTGGCCTTGCACCCTTGCACACACTCTGTCACAGTGTGCTTGATAGAGCATCACCATTCTTGATTCTGAATCTTTGTTTTTGTTTCTTTTTTCTGAGTTTTCTCTAGATTTTTGCCTTCAATCCTTTGCTTACATAGATTTAGGTTTGATATTTGTCGTAGAACGTACAAACTTTAGGAAAAACTGAAACAAACTTCACTTTAGATCCCAAAAAATCTTTACCCCAGCATTCGTTTAGGTTTTGCCAAGGTCCTCTAAACCTTCATAGAACACTTCTTTTCCAAATCATACACCTTCCCCTTAAGCCAACATCATGGGCATGTGGAGGCATAGGGTAGGCACCCCAACTAGGTTAGAGTACTTTAGGCAGGAGTTTGACATCCCGGTCGACGTTCACCTGAGGTTGGCCAGGGAGGACGACTCCATCATGCTTAATGGAAACCTCATGCCTTTCCATGTCGTTGTCTTTACAGAATGTGGACTTAGGTTTCCACTAGACATCCTTTTCCGAGAAGTTCTCCATTATAACAAATTGAACCTGATGCAGCTTGCCATTAACTCTTACCGAGTTATCAATAGTATAATTGCCTTAGCCAAAAAAGAGAAAGCTAGGGTTACCCTTGCCGACGTCCAGTATTGCTACACCATGTGTGGCCTTAAATTAGAAAAAGGCTACATCTACTATCTTAAACCGAGGTCCACAGAATATAAACTTGTTGCCGACCTCCCAGACTCCAACAAGGGAGCCAGGGACGATTATTTCATTGTCTCGGGCAACTTGGAGTTCGCTCCGGATAAGGACCTTCACCTCTACCCTCTTAGCCGAACAGTATTCATAGAAGGTAATGGTAAGAACCAAGTGTTACACTCACTTATTTTTCAAGTCTTTAATACTTTATTCTTTCTGTATGTTCTAACGCTTGTTTTCCTTGCAGGTTTTCCACAGCCACCAAAAGACTTTCGTAAGTCCTTCTTCCCTAGTAAGGACCTCAAGAAGCTGTTGGATCTGCCAGTTCAGAGGCGGAGAGCTCCGTTACTGCTTAACTTCATCCCAACCTACAAATCCATTTTGCCCGACGTCCCGAAAAAGAAGAGCAAGTCTCCTCTTTCCGCCACAACTCCACCAGCAACTTCATCACCCCGGCCAGATCAGGGATCAACTTTCGATCTAGATGAGGGACCATCAACCTCGGCTCCATATCTGATCCCTCCATCTCAACGCAAACGCCGACACCGAACTGCTATCGCTGCCGAGATAGGTCGCAAGAGAGTAGTTGCAGACGATCTTCTGGCCGACATCCCCGACACTGTCAATGCTCAACCTTCTCCAACCCAGTCTTAACCAAAGCCAAAGCCTAAAAGATTGAAGAAGGCCCAGCCTAAGGCAACGATGACTCAAATTGACACTGAGGACACCTTGCTAATTTCAAAATTGGCCGAGAGCGAGAAGACTTCCTCCGCTGCCGAGAAGAGGCCCGCCGAGGCTGCTCCCTCCGAGTCAATGTGGTCAAAAAGGCTGAGGTCTGAATCCGCTACAGCCTCGAGGACTATGAAATTCGATGCCCCTTGGGCTCCTCCAATCACCATCGAGGACAAGCCGGTCAGGGCTGGCGATAGCGCTAACGACATTGAAGTCGGCGTTGCCCTCTCTACCGCCTTGCTCCTTCCTGAAGATCTCAATCGTAACGCTAAGATGAGCAAATACGAAAACTTTGCTTTGATGTTGCAGCGCTCCGTACAGGTAAGCCCCCATCACTTGGTACTCTCCACCTCTATCTTTTCATACTTAGAGAATTTTTACTAACATTTGCTCTTTTCTTTTCTTCTAGGCGATCCAGCATGGCCACTCATTCACGATGCAAGCCTTTGCCATCAGGAAGGAGTTGGCCAACAAGACCAGGGAGGCTGCCAGTTTGTCCAAGTCCCTTAGCAAGGCCGAGAGCAAGATGAAGACTTTAATAAACCAAGCCGAGGAAGCCAAAAAAGCCCAGGATGAGGCCGAGGAAAAGGCTGGGGCTGCTGAGGCCATTGCCAAGATCTCTGAGGCCGAGAAGAAAGAAGCAGAGGCGAAGATGGCCGAGGCCCAAAAAGAAATCTAGGATGCCTTGGCCACAAAAGAGGCCGAGATCAAGGCCGCCAATGAAAAGGCTTACGCCGAAGGGGTGGCCGACGTCAAGGAGGACTACAAAAAACAAGTGAAGTAGGCATGCAACAAGGGTTTCACCCTTGGTTGGATGGCTGCCCTCAAAAAGCTGGATGTCCCTGAGGACTACCCCCTCAAGAATGCTGGCAACCTCCTCCTACCATTCCCCCCTACTCCAAGTCAATTCGAAAACGATTCTGAGTCCGAGGAGGAAGCTTTGGTCAGGAAGAAGAAAGAAGTTGCTGGGGCCAAGTCCCCTACTCTGAATGAGCAAGTCGTGGACTTGTCTCAGGATGAGGAGGGTGAAGTCTCCAAAGATACCACTCCTGAGAGGACAACATTGGACGCGCCTGTCGCCGACAAGAGCCTTGACCAGACTCTCAAAGAGATCGACACTGAGCTCACGTCTGAGAAGGCCGCCGAGAAGAGTTCTCAAATTTCCTCTGAGCCCCAAACTCAACCAGCTAATGACATCGAATAGTCTAGTTTCTTTACCTCTTGTACTTTTTCTTACTTTTGAAACAATGTAAGCTTTAATTTGGCCGGTGTGCCACTTCTGTAATCCGAACAATTTTTCTTCAATGTCAGGCCGAAGTGCCTTTATCTGAATGCACTCTCAAATTTCTTTTTGTATTTCTTCTGAGTGTTTGAATGCTTGTCTATCTTGTATGCTTCCATACTTGAAATATTCTGCATGTTTCTTCAAAGTACACCTTGACTGTGTAATTTCCTCGGGGTAAAATACCTCGGATATACTTACTAGTAGTTTTATGTTAGCCTTCAACTAACACTTGAAAATATTTTTTTTATAATATTTTCACAAGTGTTACAACTTGCCAACTCACTCTTGCTTACCAAGGCTTCTGTCTTCCACTATTTTCCAAATCTTGGTAATATGGTAATCTCGGCAATATTTTTGCAGATATTTCTTTAGAAATAACTCTGCCCCCTAATGTGAACTTAAGTTCCACTTGGGTTCTCATTAAGCATGTATCAATAATCTTGTCACCGAGATCAGATTCAAACAGAGACTGGCCGAGGTCAACAACCTTGGCTTCCTTGTTAATCTAACTGATATAAGTTAACTCAACTTAGTTCAACTCTATTATATGCAAGTAGGAAACTCTGCCATATAATAAGTCTAAGTTATTCGTCATGTTTCAATCAGAAACATCGTCAACTTAGTTCAACTCTATTATATGCAAGTAGAAAACTCTGCCATATAATAAGTCTAACTTATTCGTCATGTTTCAATCAGAAACATCGCCAACTTAGTTCAACTTTATTATATGCAAGTAGAAAACTCTGCCATATAATAAGTCTAAGTTATTCGTCATGTTTCAATCAGAAATATCGCCAACTTAGTTCAACTCTATTATATGCAAGTAGAAAACTCTACCATATAATAAGTCTAAGTTATTCGTCATGTTTCGCTTAGAAACATCGTCAAGTATCTCGTCAGTCATACAGCACAAGTTTTTTAAAAAATCAAGCTGAAACTTTATTATTACTTCGGCTAATAACAAAAAACTAAAAAAATAAGAAAATCTAATGATAAAAAAACTTCAGATTACACGTATTCCAAGGTCTTGGCAACTTTTTGCCTTCACTGTCCTCAAGTCGATATGCCTCATTACCCAGGACTGAGATGATTCTATAAGGTCCCTCCCAATTTGGGCAAAGCTTGCCCTCTCTGGGATCCTTCTTATTGCCGACGACCTTTCTTAGGATGAGGTCCCCAACTTGGAACTCTCGTGGGTTAACCTTTCTGTTGTAAGCCTTAGCAAGCTACTGCTGGTAGACCCCCAACTGAATTGCTTCTTTCTCCCTCCTTTCTTCTAATAGGTCTAGATCTCGGGCTAAGAATGCATCATTAGTCCCATTCTCCACTCCCTAGGTTCTGATCCCTGGGATGCCGACCTCTAATGGGATTACTGCCTCTGTGCAGAAAGTCATGGCAACTGGAGATTCCCCATTTGATCTTCTCGGTATCGTTCGATATGCCCAGAGTACACTGGGCAACTCATCCACCCATTTTCCCTTAGCTGCTTCTAGCCTCTTCTTGATCCCATCCAAGATGACCTTATTGGATGCTTCTGCTTGACCATTGCTTTGAGGGAAGCTTGGAGTAGAGTAATAATTCTTGATCTTGTACTTTGCACAGAAGCTCTTGATTAGCTTACTGTCAAATTGTGTACCATTGTCTGCAATTATTACTCTTGGGATCCCAAATCTGGTGATGATGTTCTTTCATATAAAGCTCTTCATATCAACATCTCTTATCTTTGCGAGGGGTACAGCTTCCACCTATTTGGTGAAGTAATCTGTTACCACTAGTAGGTATTTCCTTTGTCCAGTTGCTTGAGGCAATTGTCCCACAAGATCCATGCCCCATTGGGCAAATGGCCAAGGGCTGGACATCGGGTTCAAGTCCGCTGCTGGTTAATGTATCAAAGGTACAAACCTTTGGCACTTCACACTTCTTGACATAGGTTTCAGCGTCTTTCTGCATGTAGGGCTACCAGTACCCCTAAGTAATGGCCCTATGAGCAAGTGACCTACCCCAAGTGTGGCTTCCACATACTCCTTCATGTATCTCATACAAGAAGTCTTCAA